AAGCCACTTCTCTTCACCTGCGCTCAGCCCGGGAAGCTTGCTGTTAGTGTTAATATCCCAACACTGTTCAGCCTGGAGCTCCCTCCCCGAGCCAGTGTCCCCTTCTCCACCTCCTCCTGCATCCAGATTTCCTCCCAGAGCTTGCACTTCTCACCCCTTCCCACACTCAAATCCCTCATTCCCACCCCAGAGCCTACACATCCTGTCTCAACACAGCTAGGGTCCAGCTAGACTGCAGGAGTTTTTCAGGATTCTGGAGATATCCCAGAAAAACTCTTCTGCATCCAGGGTTGCGTTTGTTCTTCCGCTTTTTTAGTGGAAGAGCAAACAGGCTCTTTTGGTCACCCCTATATTCCTCTTTCCACAAGGAATAAGGTGGCTTCCAAAAGAAGGGTTTTTTTCTGACATTTGGTCCAGTCTAGACAGGCCAAATGTTGGAAAAACCTCTTTCTACAGAATTTATTTTTTTAAAGCAGCAGTATAAGGATTGGGGATGGAAAGGAGGAAAATAGAGAGGGCAGGGCTTCAAGGAAGGGGCGGGGCAGTAGATCTTGGCTTGGTCTGTCATTTAAAAAGTGATCTTGGGTGTAAAAAGGTTGGAGACCACTGGGCTAAGGAATATCCCTGCTCTACTGAGACAATGTTTCCCTCCAGTTCTCTGATTCCTCAAACCTCAGTAACACACCTTCAAACACTAGTTCTTTCTCCTCACTCACTCTACCCTGTCTGCTTGAAGCAAGGACTTTTATTAGGTTTTCTGGCAGGGCCTTAATTGGCTATAGGTGCTTCAGTTGCCCTGCTGTAGCCTTCCCTAGTCTATAGGGAATCATGCTTTAATAAGCCTTGGGCAGGGAAGGGGAACCGATAGCCCAGATCCAACCCCTGGCTTGCCTTGATTTGGCCTGCTGTGAGGCTCAGGGCTTGAATCTCTAGCCCTGCAACGAGGCTGTGAACTTTGGCATCCCACCTCCCACTACATGGCTGGAGCGTGAGTGCTGGCTCCACACTGCAGGAGGAAGCAGCAGAGAGCTAGCTCTAAAGACCTTGGATGGCTGGTTCTGCCTGGCTTTGGGGGCAGGGGAGGAGGGAGAAAGCACCTGGCCTAGGGCTTATATTTCCTCTCTCCCACTGGCCCTGCTGTATCACATAGCATTAAGAATTTCCAGCTTTCGTAACTGACAGCACTTTGTGCACATTAATTTCAAATGTTCCCTGTATAATCTTGCTGTTTTTTGTAGAAGTTTACTTGTAACTGCAGAGAGAAATTTTAAACATAAAATCATAATCATTCATGCACCAAAATGGCTGGAGCATTCTCAAATGGGTATAGAGTGTTTTTTAAAAAATTATGCTATTAGGCCTCTGAGTTTGTTTGGGATGTGCATTATCCGGTTATGTTTTTAAAAAAATTATGCTATTAGGCCTGTGAGTTTGTTTGGGATGTGCATTATCCGGTTATCATCCTTTTGTTGTCTTGCTAAATTATTCTCTTCTGTCTTCACCCTGCTCTCCTCCAGTCTCTTACTGCTAGGGAATAATTAACATCTCTACTTCCCTTGAGTGACACTTTTTCAAAGCTTATACTCATTTATTTTTCCTTTTCCATCAAAAAACTTCAGAATACTTGAAGATCCCATTGTATGTCTGAAAATCAGACCCATATATATAATCTCAAAATCAGAAATCAAGTCAGAAAGCCAGGCAGTTGGGTCTTGAAAAGCTTATCCACCTAAGCTGTGTAAATGCCACTGCTCTGGCTCCACGTGGGTATTAGTCAATTAGAAATGTTTCAGAAAACTGAGAAAATGTATATTAACGTTAAATTGGTCCTCAGCCATAATTTAAGAGTATTTAGTTACAAGAAATGTTATTTCTCAGCTATCCATCATTCCTGTAGCTACTTGAAATTGTATTACATGTAATACAATGGAAGGTAGTCAAACTTTGAAATCTTTGGGAAGATCTTTGAGGAAGTATCTTGCACAACATAACTGAGAGTCTGTTCCTACTGAATTGTGCAAGGCTTCAGAGCTATTTGCATACTCAGATTTAGGTCAAAACTGCCTGAAAAGTAAATGATTATCTTCCCATCATGTTTTCCAATGTCAGTGGCTATTGGAATATCAGAACAAGAATGCAGGTTTTCAGTTTGATATAATAGCTCTGTTTTGTTTTCTGCAGATTATTTACTAAACAAATAAGAGAATCAAGATCTCAATGTATAGAACTGCACAAACTGCTTCAGAAGTAGGTATTCCTTCATAACTGTCTTTTTTCCCAGATTCCTGAAGCTAAAAGCAGACTTGTAAACTTAATTGGTAGTTTCATCATAGCTAACTCAATTATCTATTTTTTTTTAACTAGAATAGAGCAAAATAACCTAAAGCAAAGTAACACAGAAGAGAAAGTTCAAAAGGTGAGGACTTTCTTCTTGATGGCAGATGTCTGACTTTATTTTTTTTAGTTAACATACCCTTCCATCCCAGATGCTGCTCCCTAGTTCAAACATTCTAGCACTTCTCATTTAATTTTATACATTCTACCAAGATAAGTAGTGTGGCAAACACTTGATACATGACTCTCTTTTTTTTTCCCCCACTCTCATAAAGGTTCGCTCCATGTGGGCCTCTGTAATGGAAACCCCCCCACTCCCATAAAGGTTCGCTCCATGTGGGCCTCTGTAATGGAAACCCTTACATTCTTGGAAAAAGAGAAAGAAGTTGTAGATTCTATTGTTGCTGGTCATGTGGACCAATATACTTTAGATGGAACTAATGTCACTATCAGCGTCCCAAGGCTGCTGCTTGACAAAATTGAAAATCAAATGTCCGACGTAAGTGTGTCCCTTGTTTTTAAAGTACCTAATACTCATCTCTTGTTTGTCATCCTTATTCATAGAACTTAGTTGCTTTACAAAAGGTGAGATTAGTTTCACCTAATTGAACTGCACTTCTGTTTTCTCATCTGTTATGTGCCCAGAGTAATAGCACTCTGCTCATAGACTTGAACATGCCTTGATTTGTGTTGCATCAGATGCTAAGTATTTTTGTGTAGCTGAGAACAAATATATCTGATCTGATTGTGTTTAATGTTCTTACTGTAACCTGCCCTACAAATATGCACAAACTATTTTCTTAAATGATCACATTTTAAAATATTTAAACTGCAGTAATGATACCATGCTTGGTGAAGGGAAGGCACAGATTACTTTTGAACTTCTAAGACTTGTATTGAAAACATGGTCTTTCTCCAAATTAAAAAGGTGTGTAGAGAGGAGATGTTGGTTACTGTCAAAATTGAGGCATAAGGAAAAGTGATGAGCCAATCGGTTGGGGGGCTTTAATTTTCTTCTGCATTCAAATGTGCTTGAAGGTATTGGGGTAAAATGTCTTGCAGTATGGTGTTACAGAGAAGTATTCTGTATTTGAAGTCCTCAAGTGTAAATTACAGTAAAGTTTTTAAATGAGGAACTGCATTACTAAATACCATATTAAAATAAACACTTAAACACTTTTCTGATTATCTTTTGCATTTCATTCTGCTTGGACAATAAAACTAGACTGGTCAGACTCATGCATTGTGTAAAGTGCTGGGTGGTGGTTACAAATGATTTTAAAATGTTTGAATTTCAGTTTAATACTAAGTTAATATAGAACACCCCTTTCAAGCAGCCTTCATTTTCTGGATCTAAACTAAGGTGAGTGTCTCTGAATCTAGAAAAAATTTAAAAAAATCATAATCAGGTCTACACTACACATCATCATAGAAAAGATAAGCTGTCTAATAGCTGATGTATCAACTTGACCATTTACTAATAAATTTTCCGTTGTTCTTCAATGTTTGAAGTTGCGTATAGGAAATGTATATGAAGCTGGAAAACTAAACCTGTTAACAACCATTCAGTTATTAAATGAAGCATTGAAGACTTTAACCCAGGAACGTGAACAAGTGGACAAGATGGCACTAAAGTTGGATCTTGACTACATTGCAGCCAAGACCAAATCTCAAAATAAAATTTTGTTGGAGCTTCAGTCTATGAGGTAAATTCTTACAAAAATTTTCTGAGTCTCTTTATAGCTTCCCTTGTGCATGAAAATAAGCATCATCTCCTACATACCTCTTGTCAAAACACTACTTCATATTTTGACTTATTGCTTCGCTGAGAGAATGTGCTGACTAGGGATGTTAAAGACTAGTTGACTATCCGATAGGCAAATGCTTATTGGATAGTCTTTTGACAAGTCAATTTCCTCCCCTCCCCCCTTGCTGCCTCTGAGAGCGGGTCAGCAAAGGTGGGGGGAGGAAGGGGCACTTCAAAGTGGTAATGCTGCACAGCTGTGTGGCACTGTCGCTTTGAAACCAAGGTGGCATTTCAAAGGGACAGTGGAGACCGCGATCACCTGGAGAGTCCCTAGTGGAGGCAGCATTTCAAAGTGGCAGTGGAACATAGCATGGAGTCCGGGGTCAGTGGGGGACTCCCGCTGGGGATTCTTGTGCATTTGAATTGTGCATTTCAAAGCAGGCGTCTGCGTGCAGCCCGGAGTCAGCAGGACTTCCCACTGGCCCCAGGCTATATGCGGCGTTCCACAATGCGGAGTTCCACGTTCCATATGCGGAGGAATGTGGAAATGCCTATCGACTAGTCAATGAAAGTTTCCATCAACTAGTCAGTTAACTGCATTTTAACATTCTTAATGCTGACTTGATCAGCTCTGCTCGTGATAGATATTTTGGCTAACAAATTCATTGTCAATTGGGGCTTTGCATCTACAAACTTAAGCATTTCCCCTCTGCTCTCTGAGCAAGTTAGTTTTGCTCCTGGCTGTAGGAGGCTGAGCATCTTAGTTCAGTGAATAGTGAAGGATTCTTATTCACTTGATTTATCACTTATTGTCAGGGCTCGACAATCTATGTAATCTACTTGCCTGTGGCGAGTAGATTACAACCTGGAAGAGCCGGGTTCGGGCGATCTGTACATGTGCAGATCGCCAGACAGCGTGGCTGGCAAGCCCTACTTATTGTACTGGGTAAATTTTTAGCATAATGAATTTCAACTCAAGGTTTTAAATCTTTTGTATTCACCCTTTAACTATTTTAGGTATTGCATTCTGTAAAGACTGACAGTTTCTTGTCAGCATTAGTATTTTTAGTTTATTACCTATGCTTTCTTTGCAAAGAGAGCAATTGGCTCATACAAAATAAACCGGACACATAAGTGGGTGATATTTTAGAATGCTATCCTTTAAATTTTAATAAGTTCATATATTTACATTATGTGATTAAATGTTACAAGATAAAATCAACACCCAAATATACTTTGATAGCACAAAGTTGTCCATTCCAAGCAGGGCTGTGTCTAGACTGGCAAGTTTTTCCAAAAATCATCTGCTTTTGCGGAAAAACTTGCCAGCTGTCTACACTGGCCGCTTGAATTACCGCAAAAGCACTGACGATCTCATGTAAGATTGTCAGTGTTTTTGCAGAAATACTATGCTGCTCCCGTTCGGGCAAAAGTCTTTTTCCGAAAAACTTTTGCGCAAAAGGGCCAGTGTAGACAGCAGATATTTGTTTTCCGCAAAAAAGCCCCAGTCGCAAAAATGGCGATCGGGGCTTTTACGCGGAAAAGCGCATTTAGATTGGCCACAGGCGCTTTTCCGCAAAAAGCATTAAAAGCATTTCCGGAAAATCATGCCAGTATAGACGTAGCCCAGTTGTAATATATTCATGAAAAACATCTGATCAAAGTTGGCTTTCTATGTAACGAGAGGTTACTTCCAGCATAGACACTAATGTCCATGTTTGTCTGTGTTTTTTAACATTGCAGGCACAAACTAAAGCAAGAGGATCATGTGTCCATAGTGGAATCAATTGCTGAAAAACAAAGAGACTGGGATATGAAGTGGGAAAACTTCCTTGGTCAGTCTCCCTTCACTTTAATTAAAGAAGAGAATCCAGTAAGTAGTGTCCAGTAGGAGTAAAATCTCTTTGAGGAAGTAGAGTATGGCTCTGCCCTCTGGGGTTAGGAGACCTGAAACAGACTGTCCAACTGCAGCAGAATCTTTTTAATGCTTCTAGGCACAGATATTAAAAAACGTTCTAGTCTCTGACCTGCTTGAAATGAGTTGATGTATTTTTTTTAAAATTCTAAGTAGACATGAGCTCTTTATGATAACCAGTTCAAATTTGGTACCCTTTTGATAGGTAATTCAGAGTTGGTTCCTTTAGATCAGGAGTGAGCCAAAGTAGCAAGTCAGCAGGGAATGTTGAATAGCCCTTACTAGGGATGTTAACTGGTGGGGCCTGGAGCAGCTCCCTGCCTGCTGTAGACAAAGACTGCCTCAGACAAGAGAAGCCCCTATCCGCACTGGCCAGGCACGTCGCAGGCAGGGGCTGCTCCAGCGAGAGCGGGGAGCTGCCAGTATCCCCAGCCCCCACACATGGGCAAGGAGCCAGCAGCACCCCCAGAGTGGTCCCTAACCCGGATCCTGTTGAGTTGTTTAATTTTTAGGTTGAACTAACGTTTAACCAGCTAACTGATTAACTGGGATTTTACATCCCTAGCTATTACCACATGTAACTGATGAAAAGAGCACTTGAAAATTAAGTAGTATCTCTCTTTTGAGCGTAAAATTTACTTTCCTCCTCAAATTTTAATCTCTCCTTCCAGTAAATGAAGGATAATGGTTTCATAGCATTTGCAACACTTGCTTGTCATCTGGCACAGTCTGGCCTTTTGTTAGCTACTGAATTGCTATATTTTTATCTGGAGTTTTTTCACAAACTTATTTTTATTTTGAAAAGGTACTTGATTTGTTACCAGCTATGTCTCCTCTTTCTTTTGATCCTGCAACAGAAGAGGCTTATAAAAGCAGTGTTTTCTGTCAATATCCAGCATCAATTCCAAGTGAGTAAATTGAATAAGGTCTCTAGTTCATCCCTAGGGTGTTCCTTGTCGTTGTGGTAGTCTGACAGATGAGTACCAATCACTGTTTCTTTGGAGCCTTTCAATGTCTGTCAGAACCATAACTTGTTCATGGCTGAGTAAGGAAATACTGGTACTATGTCTAAAATTTGGATTTCAGATCTCACTAAAGCATGGTGAACACTTAAACTACATATTGTCTCTTGCAATTATCATGAGCCTTGTTTAACCTCCACTTAGTCAGCAATCATTTTAGAAAAAATAAAACCTTTACAGGTCTAGTTATTGGATTTCTAACTGCAATAATTTAAACCTATTTCTAGTAGAAACATGCTTGATAGGTAACATACTATTTAAAAAAAACCAAGGTGGTTTAAGAATTCTAACACTTAGGCTGTGTCCAGATTCAGGGTTTTTTTCGAAAAAAGTAGCCTTTTTTCGAAAAAACTTCACCTGCGTCTAGACTGCAGCTGCGTTCTTTCGAAATTAAATCGAAAGAACGCGGCTTTTCTTTTGACGGCAGTAAACCTCATTTCACGAGGAAGAACGCCTTTTTTCGAAAGTGCTCTTTTTGAAAAAAGGCGTTCTTGAATGCCAACAGGGCTTTTTAGAAAGAGAGCATCCAGACTCACTCGCTGCTTTCTTTCGAAAAAGCGGCTTACTTTTTCGAAAGTACTGCTTGCAGTCTAGACGCTCTTTTTCGAAAGAGGCTTTTTCGAAAGTATCTTTCGAAAAAGCCTCTTTCGAAAGAGGCTTGTAGTCTAGACATAGCCTTACATAGCATGTATTTTTACCTTTGCTTGCTTGTCTGCAGGTTCAGGCTGGATGTTCTTTTAGTTTGCAGTTTTTAATAATTCTGGAGAACCATCTTGGTTATTTCTCTGCATTTGTGATCTGTCTGTTGCATTAGGACAGTGGTTTTTTTAAAGTTGGTTAAATTATTTTCACTTACAGCCATTTTTGCAAATAGCTGCCTGAATATTAACTATTGCTAACTCCTATACTTTATGTAGTTGTATATAATGCAAGGCACTTGTGGTTGAAGTGGCAAGATTTTGGATGACTTAATTTAAAAACTATCACTTGCGTTAAATTTTTATGCCTGTAATGAACCAAAATATAGAATTTAAATGAAAAGCACTTCGACTAAACTATGTATGTGTTATCTACCCACTTTTCTGCCCACTAGCTTCAAGCCATAACTTATTTTCTGGTATTAGCAAAATCAGTGTAGAGTACATCAGAGTTTTGTTAAACTGGCACTTTGTATAGCCTTTTGAACTAGTCTGCTTGTACTCTTGGATCTAAAATTGTTCTCTCTGCTCCTTTATAGTTAAAGCCTGTGTCTATTTACAGAAGTCACAGAATCGATGATAGTGTCTCATGTGGCTGGCTCAGGAGCCAACTGAGGAGTTTAGGCCCCTGGCCTGCAGCAGCAGGTGTTTGGGTGAGGAAGGCTCAGGACTGGAGGCTAGAGTGCAGGGCAGTGTTTACCTGGGTGGCAGAGGTGAAAGTGGGCTGGTACAGGCAAGAAGTATCTGCTGGCAATGGCAGAGCTTCAATGTCACTGCCCCCCCCCCCCTTTTTTTTTTTTTAATGCCCTGCTGGTAGGGTCCAGGGCTCCTGACTCTGGCAGTGGTGGCTGGAGCCCCAGTAGAACCTTTAGGGCCCTTCACCACCATAACCCCAAGGATCCTGGCTGAGGCAGTGGGGGAGTCTGCTTGAGGCCCTATCTTTTCTGAAGGCCCAGAGCATTCCCTCACCTTGCCCAGAGGGAGGAGGATGGGGCCTCGCCAGAACAACAGCAGCAATTTCACACACTCAGCTCTTAGTACCACTTGTGTCTTGACTGCTCCCATTGGCTATGGTTTCCAGGCAATGGGAGCTGCAGAACTGGAACTTGGGGCAGAGCAGAGGCAGCATGTGGAGCTGGGAGCTGGAGGTCTCTGCTTCCCAGGAGGCAGGTAGGGAGCCTGCCCTCTCCCAGCACCTGCGGCACATGTTCCCCCTCCACCCCAGAATTCAGGGTGCCATCTTGGACTGCCATCCACCATGGCACCACCCCGAGCACCTAAGTTCTCTCTCTTACCCTCTCTCCCCCAAGATTTAGGTCAGGGGTATTCAGTGAACAAATCGCAGGCTATGAATTTTTGTTTACATATCCATCACTTTTACTAAAAATCCCCAAACTACAACATAGCCTTATATATAATCAAAGAAAACAGAGCAAGCAAAAAGGTGGTAACAAATCTCTTCCATTCCCTATTTTAGATGCACCTAAGAAGTATTGTCAAGCAAATGATAACAAGGAAGAGGATGCAACACTGGAACGTATAATGGAGACACCATCTACAGGAAGGTATGAATAGAGCCCTGCAGATCCACCAATATCAGCTTTATACCCACAGGTATCCACTACATGGCTCATTTTTTACCAATCCAGATACAAATTTGTATCTAGAATCCTGCAAACTTGCAGATAGCTGCTTTATATCCATGGGTATCTGCATCCATGAATGCGGGTATCCGTGGATTGCTTTGGCAGATGTCGATACCAATTTTATATCTGCGTAGGGCTCTAGGTATGACTAAACTTACTGGACCTTTTAATACATGAGTAAAAGAGGTCAACTGGTGTAGGTAGTTACTTTCCTCATTAAGACTCTTCTTGGAAACATTTTCTTTTATGAAACTTTTTTCCATAATCCCTATAAAGGATGAAACTACATAACCAGCTCTATTTTGTGAGTCCTGAGTCGAATGGAGGTTCTGTATGGCATTTTAGATGGTTGTTTTTCATGGATCCACACACAAAAGGACTCTGACATAGAGAGATCTCCTCTCTTCCTCCCTCTCCCCTCCGGGGGGAAGCCAGTGTGTGTGAAGAGATGGCTTTTTAAGCAGGCTTCCTAGACACGCGGACGCGAGCTTCCACAAAGCTGCCTGCCCCTTTTTCCACCTGCACTGCTGCTTCTGTATCTGAGGCTACAGTGGAGAGTGATATGGGCTGGCGGGTGTGGAAGGGGGAAGAGAACAGAGTGATGTTTGCAGAGTATCCACTGAAAATTTTAGCATGTACGTGTTTATACAAATACATTTTAACGTATTTTGTTAAAGCTAGAATTGTATTTATGCTGAATGATTTTATGTAATTTTCTGAAAATACCAATAAACTAAATGTATAACATGGATTAAAAACCTACGTTTTCTAAAAAGTAGTAAAAACAGGTAAGAATACATCTATACACAACTGGATTACTTGCTTCCTAGTGAGTGAACCGAATTTTTTAATAGCATAGGTTTTTAAGAGAAATAGATAACATTAACTTAGAAGCAGTGATGGTATTTAGTTTACATTTTGCTAGGCTTTACCCATCAGAACTGACTTAAAACTACGATAAAGTCATGTAGTTGGCTTCTAAAACATGATTCAGATCCACAAGCACCAAAAGGCTTACAGGTTAAGGATGCTAAGTATTGACTTATCGAATAGTCAATGTATTCTGCATCAACTATTTGATTAGTTAATAGGGTGCCTCTGCCTTTGAAGTGTAGCAGCTGCCCTAGGGCTGTTGCTTTCACCTTTGAAGTGTAGCACCGCGTGGAGCCCAGGGTCAGCTGGGGAGTCTCCAGCTGATTCCAGGATCCATGCAGCACTGCTGTTTTGAAATGCTGCATGTACCTCCCCTCCCCGGACCCTCGCCTGATAGAGGCAGCAAGGGGTGGTGGAACCCCCTCCCCGGACCCTCGCCTGATGGAGGCAGCAAGGAGTGGTGGAAGCTACTATTGGCTATCCTGTTGACTATACGATAAGGCTACTAGTTGGCTATCCTGTTGACTATACGATAAGCAAATGCTTATCGAATAGTCGACTAGTCCTTCACATCCCTATTACAGGTAGATTACTTAACCCTTAAACAATACAAGTTCACTTTCATGTGAGGTCAAGTAAACTGAAGTAATTTGGTACTTAAAATGATGTCCTTGTCCTTCAACAGTTTGCTTTAGAAACTACTTCTTGTAGTTGTCATTCTCAATAAAAATACATGTCTCTATATAAAGTTCCACTCTTGTGTGGTGAGCTCATATTTATTAGAGCTTGGGAGACTGATACACAAATAGAGCTTAAAAATCCGCTCTAATTGTCACAAGTTCCTCCCTATAGTAAAACTGCCTTCTGATGACCGGGACGAATTGAGGGAAATTGTAACGGACAGATACGGGGCAGACAACATACTGACCTTTCATAAGGCTTGTATGTGGCATGTTTGGTTTAATGTCAATAACTGGAGTCCTGTCTGTTTGTTAGGATGCTCTCTCGCTTGCAGTCAACTACACCCCGCCTTTTCACAGCTGAACCTACCATTGCGGCACTTGAAAAGGTTGGTTTTTAATAACTTGTTTATTTCTTCCCTCCCTCCCCCAGACAGTTGATGTTTGTAATCTTACTAGTCAGAATACAGTGTAAACTTGGCATGTTTTCCTGGGTCCTGCTTGTAGACTGAAAATGGCTATGATGCTAGTAGAACCACCTACCACACAGGATTCCCCAGGCATTGGGGAAACAGCCAGGCTGAATGTTGCCTGTGACAAGCTTCCATTTCTGGCCCTCAATAATAGGAAGCGAGTGTTACGTCAGTTTTTCTGTTGTTGAAACAGCTGTTTATGAGGGCTTCAAATTGGCAGCACAACTTGGATACTGTCAGAGCCATACCTAAATTATGTTTTGGGATTTGCATGATGACCCCAGGCTGAGGAGCCATAAGCACAATCTCTATAAAGCACCTTTGTTGCACTAGGCACAGAAAGGGAAAACCCAAGATACTGCTGTTACCTACATGCAATGCTTTACTTGAGCTGATCCAAAGCAAGCCTACATAAAATCTGATGGGAACGAATGTTGTTCAGTGTTTGATTTACTGTTTGATTAACACTAATACTACAGGTGCTATGCACTTTAATCCTGTGCATACTTTCACTATATAAGATTTAAAAACTCTTTGTTGTTTTAGGATGTGCATACTGCAACTCCCAAAAGGAAAGAATGGTCTGTTACTCAAATCTTAAAATATGGAATACACAAACCTAGACCAATAGAAACGTGGAAGAGTGGAAGCACTAGTGTACTCCAATCACCAACTGCAGTTAAAAGAGAAGATGCTGTTAAGAAGGCACAAGAGCAACTGGCAGAAGAGGTTAGAGGAGGCTTCACCACTTAATTATGCTTCATTCGCTAATCCAATTTTTCTAAAGGTCTTGGTATTCAGGATAACTGTTCTTGGTTGTAGGTGCGCTTTAAGTTCTTTAGGAAAGGGTGAGGGCTATAACTGTATAACTGAAAAGTACATATTGCTCAAATACACAGTAGAATACTCTTAACTGGAATATCCTAGAGGGATTACAGGCAGTCCCCGAGTTACGCGGATCCGACTTATGTCGGATCCGCAGTTACGAACGGGGTTTGCTCCGCGTCTCCCTGGTCTGCTGGACTCCAGCAGACCAGGGAGACGCGGAGCAAAGCTGCGGAGGACCCAGGCGGCGGGACCGTGGTGCGTCTCGGTCCGCTGCCTGCGTCTCCCTGGGCTGCTGGGGGGAAGGGGGCGCAGCTA